ATTTAAACTATACTTTATATAATCATTTTTTAAATACACTGTGTGTATTTGTAAAAGTGTATATTTTAATGCACATTTAAAAAAACATATTGCAATTATAAATCCAGTACTTTTCTGAAGTTGTACTATTTTCAAATAGATTTTATGTATGTTGTTTTAACCTCTGTTACTCAGAAAKGGTTTGGATTAGACAAACCAAATTTTTATACAATTGACTTACATCTGTCTGTTAATAGTCAAAACTCATTTATAGATGATTAAATAATGCACAATCTTCACAATTTGGATTTGAATGTGAAAAGTCAGATGTTGCAACTGATCCCAGGGCCGGGGGCAATTACAACGTTGTTTGGGGGTGGTTGCAGCATATTATTAATACAATATATTTCATTGTTAATAAATATATATATAAATAAAAAAAAATATATATAGCTAAATTTATAAAAACTGTAAGGAACCATGATATTACAGTGTCATGTTTTATTCTGTTGATCAAATGACAAATATAGATTTACCTTGATGAGTAGATGTTAAAGACTCAAATTGATGTAAAATACAGTTGGCTTTCAGTGACTGGAAGAATGGAACAATTTATGAGGCAATTAACTTTTGTTTTGCCTATTGTMAGTGTTCACYTCCATTATGCAAAATTTACATAGAAGAAAACTTGGATTCCAAATTCCCACTGCTGAAAACCACAAATGTATCTTAAACAGTTCAAAGCTTTACACTATAAATTGTCATGAATACCCAATATCTATTTAAGTATAAACTTAATTTTAACATCTTATGTAACATCAACTTTACGTGATCCATTTTAAAATTAACTTAGTGTACAGGGACCTCCTGTCAGCATGATAAAAMCTCATGTGTTAGCTAAATAAGCTGACCTTGATACATGTTRATATTAGTTAAGAGTAAACATACCACTTGTTTAAACCATATAAGTTTGAGCTGGATCACAAAAACATTGACAACAGTATAACAAAAACAAAGCTAAGGAAAAAAAGTTACTTTTGTACCATAAGAACAGTTTTTTCCCCAATAATACCTGGTGCAGTTTTAGCTTACATTTACAGCTTACATTTTCTCTGCAAGGCTGAGCATGTAGCCTACAGTGTGTCATCGCTCTAGCATGTTTCTGTTCAGAGAAAAATTACATGTTGCAACCATCCCTTGTTGCTACTGTCCCTGGTCTCCCCCACTTATCAAAACAACTTTATACATTGAAAAAACAAACAAACTGATGAGTGACGGCTTATTTGGTTTCCCTTAATAAATAATTTAAAAAAATGTGCTGAAACTATTAAAAAATCCAATTTTTTTAATCTTGTTGTTTTCATTTAGTTGTGGATTCTTCCTGCCTTCGGCTGCAGGCCACAGTACGACAAYGGGCTGGAACAAGACACTTTCGGCTTCACCACGTGGACCACAGTTCTCAACTTCGCCATCCCTTTAAACCTTTTCTACCGCATGCACTCAGTAGCCTCCCTGTTCGAGGTGTTCCGCCGAGTCTGACAGGAAAAAAAAAAAGGAACGACAGTGACAGGATGCCCCAGAAACCCATGTCAGCCCCGGGTCCTGAAGGTGGCGTCACGGCGTGGGTCAACTGGTTAGGAGGCAGTCGGGGTCAAACCGCTGCAGACTGGAGAGTAAAGCCATGGAGACAAACATGTAGTTCCTCCTCAGTGTGGAGATAACAGAGAAAGATGTCCTCCAAGAAGTTTGCTGTATACCAAAAAAAAAAAAAAAATGGTGATGAAGAATCCTTGTTATTGTTATTTTTAGGGTTTTGTTCTCATATTTCAAGAGGTTATTTTAAACGGGTTGATCTACAAAATAGCCGATATGCTTGATCAAAAATGCACATTTCAAACTGTTTCTTATTAGCATTTAAATGCAGCTTATAGGCTTGATTAAAAAACACTGTATATACTGTATATGGGTAAAGTTCTCCCTTCATTTAGCTGAAGTATAGAGTAGTAGAGCAGTTTTGACTTTTGAGTTAAGAAGGTAGTTAGGATCTTACAAATTCATCATTATTAATATTTTTTGTTGAACATTTGTTCTCAGAAGTTGCACCTTCCTCACTCAGTCGAAGTTCATCATTAAATTAAACAAGCTGATTCTCTGTCATGTTGAGCTGATGGAAAGTAAAATTATTGCTTCAAGAAAAAAGAAAAGAAAAAATGAAAAGAAAAGCTTCCCTTTTTGAATATTTAATTTCATATTTTAATGTCTTTGTGTATCAAAACAGAAAAACATACTGAGCACATCAAGCAAGACAAATTGAAGTCACAACCTCTGGTGTTTTAAGCCCTAAAAGTGAAACTCATTACAGTCTGTGACAAAACTTTGCACTGTACTTGTAAAATTTGYGTGAAATTGTATTCAGGTGACCGGCAAGTTCTTAGCCTGGTGCTATCCTCCCTCTGAGTTCTCTCTATGTGCCAAGTTGTGAGAAACAAACAACAACAAAAATCWATGCTTGGGGATTTATTGTCTTTCATCAGAATCTCTCAGATACTGTAACAAGTTGAGTATGTACATGTCTTTAGTTATCTTCAAATGTCTACAAATATCCCATCTCTATGGAAATAAAAAGACAGTTCTCCATTTCAAACTTAAAAAGTGTCACTTTTTTCTGTTCTTGCTACACCTGAATCATGCAGGTGACACGTGCAGTACTCATTTTATTCACTAGGTGGAGCCAAATACACACGTACTCTAGACTWACATAAAATAAAAGAGTGAAATCTTGTCATGGCTGCTTATGACATTGTATACAATGATTTTCAAAAAACAAAACAAACAAAAAAAATAAATTAAAGTAATTTGGTTTTGTTTAAAATAATAAATGAAATACATCCAGACAAAGCCAGCAACATAAAAGGTGACAACATAGAGTTCTGTTTTTAATTCAGATGTACGTAGCAAACACATTCTGTAGCTCCCATCTAAAACAGGCTCCACACTTTTAAATGTATTCAACTGTCTCTGGTGTTGCCTTAGATAATGTTCACAAGAGAAGCAGCAGCAACAGCAGCCTAAACCCATGCTGTGTGGGTCACAGGCTGCCTCCTGACTCTGATGTGATCCTGCAGATTATGGGTCAGGCTACTCCTGGGAATTTGGGGCCGAGCGACAGGGGATTATTTCAACATAGTGTCTGAACGATTTGACAGGCACGCAGACACGTCTAAAAATAACTGTGACGTTTTTAAAGGCGGAAACCACACTGCTGCTGATGCTGATGCCGCTGATGTTGTTGGTGCTGCGGAGCTCCTGGCTTTCCACGCACCC